GTGTGTGTGTGTGTGTGTGTGTGTGTGTGTGTGTGTGTGTGTGTGTGTGTGTGTGTGTGTGTGTGGCTGAATGACCTTCATTCAAAGGTTTTTGTTTGGGATCATGAATAACGTGTCATTTTGTAAGATATGACACATTACTTGAGCTGATACAAACATGAGTCACCTTCACCACTTCAGGCGAGCTGTCGGCTCTTCATTCATTCATCAGTCATTCAACAGATGCCTGTTTTGTTGTTACTACTGACTACTTGTTGTCAGTAATACAGACACCTGCAGTTTTCTGTTCTATAGGGTAATTTCCTAAAATACTTTTTTATATGTGTCATAGTATGTGTGTTTGGTTTACAGTGCTTGATTTTAAGTAAGGAAAACATTTTAACCATTTCTATAGTTGCCTGCTGGAAGCATCTTTATTATACATTCATTTGGTCTCCATCCACATTCTGTCTTACCACTAAAAAACTAGTAATACAGAATGTGAAATGGCTCTATTTAGTGTTTTGCTCCCTAGAGAGATTATTATAATGGATAAGCAAAACATGGTACTGGCCATTCGTGCTTTGGTAGATTGGTTAAGATATTCAGCAAAAATTTTATTCAGTACTAATTCTAATGCATTTGATAGTTTTTGTTGTTGTTGTTGTTATTTTTGCATCTATCCACAATGCATCCTACCTCATTATAATCAGTCTTATTCACAAATTATGAGCTTGAGTGATTGAGAAACTTGAATTGACTGTGTTGTTCAAAGATGATGAACTGCTGTGTCAGTTCTGGACTTGAACCTGTCACAGCTCTCCTCTAATGGTTCACCCCTCCATTTTCCTGCTTCAAAGATTTTCAAGTATTAGATTAGAAGCACGGTTTTGTCTGTGTGACTACATATTTTGCTGAGTGATTTTCTGCTCTGTATGACGGTTGAGTCATAGGTAAGGTGCAGCCTATTACTCGCAGGGTACCATGGTAACAGAACACTGTGTGAAAATGTGCACCTGCTCACCAACTGTGTGCCCAGGGTGTGAGTCCAAGCCATCTGTGGCAGCTATACATTAACTCAAAAAGCACAGGGCATCCAGTGTACAACATGACATGAAATAGGTGGTCGTTCTGAACTGGACAAGCCGTTTCAACTCATTGCATGGCCTCATTTCCACAGGTCTGCAAAACAGAACACAGTGACTCTCGAGCCGTTTAAATCCTCTGTTAAAAGTACTTCAAAGACAACATGTCAGATTCTGCAATTCAGCAATTTGACTTAAATATATATATGAAAATGTACTGTCTTTTATTATGTCACTTTTTAATATATATGTACAATTCATAAAAGTAGGGCGTGGCTGTTTTTACTGCAGCATTCAGAAACAAAATAGATAAGTCACTGTGTTTGTCAAGTGTTTTCCCATTGTTGCTTCTTGTTTCATGTTGTCCTAGCATCCAGACTCTTCTACTGTCTGGTTTTGCCTTGCAGCACTTTCCATGACAAAGACTCCTGAATAAAATATGCATTTTCAGTTCAGCATAAGTGGAGCCTGCACGAACAATATATAGTGGATTGTATTTTTTAATTGTGTGCCACATGCATGTTTGTGGATGTAGAAACAGGATGAAGAGTATTCACTGACAATAGTTTGATGTCCCCAAACCCATGCAGAGATTTTCACGATAGAATTGTATTTGCTTTTAATACAGTGCTTCCTTGAAGAACATGCCCATGCAGTGCTGGTTTTAAGCCTTGTGCCTTGCATGTAAAGAATTATTTTGATAGCTGCCTAGAGATATTATGATGCTTAGATAGGAAAATTCCTCGTAAGTTTATGTCCAGAAACATTACAGAAACAATTTTAAAATTCTTAAATTATTTGCTAACAATATTATTTCTCTGTAAGCAATACTGATATCTTTCACTCATTAATTTTAACTCTATCTTCCACAGGACACACAAAAGAAGGGGGAAAGAGAAAAGGAAACAGGAAAAGGGCATCAGGGAAAAACAACAAAGATAAAGGGAACTTTGGAAAACCAAGAAAATGAGTCAGGGAGCATCCTTCAACCGCCTCCTAAACAAACAAATGTAGTGAAGATGATGCCTGTTTACACGAGGCTTCTGCACAGCAAGGCACGTAATTTAATTGACTTCAAATACTCCACACTGATGTTTAAATTCAGTACTTGACAAGAGTTTCCATAGTTTGAGAAAATTACCATGATGACATCATCATATATCTGAGGCCAGGCTGGAACACTTTGGGAGTTTTAGACGGCATTGCAAACTGACTGTGTTTCTGAATAGTGGGGATTTCGATAGGTAGAGTCTGCTGAAAAGACTAAACTGTTGTGTGATTAAAAATTGTGTGAGTCTGCATTTTTAAGCACTCTTGAGTCATACCCAGGAAATGTAGTTAGAATTTATGCCATTGCTTTAATCTGTATGGTCTTCCTCATACCAAATATGTGTCTCTACCTATCTGACAGGTTTATGCTCTGATGGAGGATCTAGTGGACAACCTGTGTGACCTGATGGATGAGCTTAATATGGAAGATGTGAAAGACACACATTATTAATAAGAAGTGAGAGGGGAGTCACAGCATTTTGGAGAATATTTGCAAGCATATATAATAAAACCTGTTACAGGATATATGCTATATTTTGTTGTGGAATTAATAAACTTTATTCCTCTGACACAGTGGATTTGGAGCATTTTTATGTATGTATTGTATGTATTTACCTGCCTCATTCACTCTTTGTAACTCCCATTAGTGGATGATAGTAAGGTAACCGTACCACTGAGTATGCAAACGAGGCGCCCCTGTCCCCGCCTCTTTTTTTACGCTCACCCACGTGACCGCTGTGTGTGCTATGCGTCCCTGGCCTTGCCGGTGCTGTATGAGTGTGTGGACGGGGCTGCCTGAAGTGAGAGAGACTGTGAGAGAGCCGTGTGCTGTGGCTTATCCTTGTCCTATGCGGATTTTACCACTGACTGTCAGGCCGAGCGGCTCGCATCATCTAGGGCAGGCCCCCCGTTCAGACACCCCCTTTCAAAGATTCCTCAAAACGCGCACCGCTGGAGGATAATTGTGGTTGCCCTGCTTAGTCAGTTTTATTTCGGGGGAATATTATCGACGCTGAGGACTTGGGAGAGGAGAAAAGCGGAGAGGCGAGGATGCTCAGTGGGCAAGGCGAGAGATGAGCAGTGGGCATGGTAAGCTGCATGCTGTAGGGTTGATGATGGAGAGGGATATAGTTTCCCGAGGTTCTTGGAAAATTACTTTCCTCTTAAGTGAGTCCAAAAATTAATGCTATATGTAATGCTATATATAATGTTGCGTTTCTGATGGAAGACAACTCCAGCAGCAGTTGGCTTTCCTCAGGAAGCTGCCTCACATGGCAGCCCGCACAGGGTTTCCACCGCAAGAGGGGGTGTGTTTGAGAGAGTGTGTGTGTGTGTGTGTGTTTGAGAGTGTGTGTGTGTGGGTGGGGGGGCATCATGCAGACCAACCACGGGCCCCTTGTCCCCTCTCCTTTGCCCCCTGAAAAAAAATGTTGATTGCAGTGCTCGGGACTTTTCTGGGGGAAATGATGCCCGTTTCCGCTTACATTAATCTGAAGCTGTCTTTATCCCTAATCCACGCGATCATGCTTAATCTGACCTCCAATCTCAGCCTTGCTTTAAGGAGTTTTCGCCGTTTATTCCCAAACCTTGGACTCTAATATTCAGCTAGAAAAACACAGACGTTTTCACCTGTTTCAACAGCACGCATGCGCATCTACAGACGTGGCCGACGGAGTGACGTTCGTGTCTGAGCAATTTGACGCGTCAGATGGTCAAAGTTAATCACCCTAACTTGATTTTCTTTCTCCACGGGATAATTGTTCATTTTAATTGACATTTTAAAAATCGCTGATACATGCAGCTCTCACCTCCAGGAGCTGAACATCACAAATTCACTTTATGATGTAATCAAGTGAATACTCTGGGTACTGGTTCCAATTAAATGACTGAGAGGCTCAGGGAACTTTTGTTTGAGTTGTACCTGCAGATGAGCCATTTGGATATCGTGTATACTCTATGGATATGGATCTAATAATGGACCAATAGCCAAACCTCCAAAGTGCTCTTATTCATAGATTGCCCCTGTGCTGAGACTTAATCAGATATGTGCATTAGAAGTGAGCTGTACAGACTTATCTGGGAAATACTAAACTATACAAACCACCTGCTCTTTGAAAATTGGGATTCATATATAAATCAAATGGTGTATGTTATAGCAGAGTTAGAAATGGGTAAATGTATTTGTTAGACTCATGAAACCTCCTCTCACCCGGCTCATCCTTTTGTCCAGGATTCCTTCCACTTACATGCTCTGAGAATACACACAGAGATATAATATTACTTCCACAATGTGAAGTTTCTGCTCTCAAATCTCCAGATAAGTTGATTTAAAGAACTGTGGTCTAAAACATCTCATGTAAGTAGAAAGCACCAGACTGCAATAACCTGTGCTTGTTGGTGCATATGTGTGTTTGTGGATCTGAGCTGAAGATGATTGTGCAGAAAGATGATACTGGTAAAGTTGCTGAGCATCACTTTCTTCTTTGTGCCCTTCGTTCTCACTCACTCCCTCTCTTCCTCTTGCACGTCCCTCTCAGACTCATCATCCTCTCAGAGTTTTGCTCTCTGTGTCCCTGCTGTGTGCATCTCATGTCCTCTGTGCTTCTGCTGATGTTGGCGTTTCAGCAGGAAAAGGCGTCCTGTGACTTGTTTCAGTCTTTGTGTACTGCTGTGCTACAGCAAAAGTTCAAATTAAACACAGCAGATTTGTGGATGGATTACTGAATGGTACTTACAGGTGCATGTCCAGCTGCCCAGTAGGTCAGTGTCCACATCAGAGTCCTTGTACTGGGAGTTCCAACTTACTATGTAATTTTTTTATTTTTATTTAATACAATTAATAAATATAAGAATATGTTGGATCGAAGTACATTTCTACTTAGGGAAGACATCATTTGAATGATATAATCTTGTTTTATTTTCAAATTATGTGTCACCATATTTTTGAAATATTTTTAAGCAGCAAAATGATACAGAAAGAGATACTAGAAATATTTTACTAAAAATATTTAATACCACCCAACTATTATTAAAAAATGTTTCAATATCTATATATGTTGTTTGGTGTTCATTTTAATACCCTAACATACCAAATATTTATATGTAAAGGATATAGGAAATTATATTATATATTGGTATTAAAATAGAAGTCCCTAAAAGTCTAATTGCAAGCAGGGCGACGGCTTTATGGCTTTAAGGAAACTCTTTTGTTTCATAACATAACTATAGCATAAATTAATTAATAACTAACCTATCTCAGAAGATATAAAAGCTTTGATTTGGCAGAGTTATACAGTTTTGCTCTGGATACCCTTACTGTGGCAACCCCAAAGGGGATTTGTGTCTTCACTTGGAAGCAATCCAAATATCTTTGGCGTGCCAAGCAAATGTGTTAACCACTACATCATTATCATCCTCGTGTGCTATTGCTCACTATCATTACCTCGGAATCAAATAATAAAACGTCCAGCTGTGTATATATTTATTTAAACAGTGTTTTACTTATATAACACCTTGTTATTGCATTGCTCAGCAATCTGTTATAAAAAATAGTTTTCCATCATAGTATTAGAAGAAAATTTGTGTGCTTTGTCTAGTATATATTACATTATAGTCACCCAAGGACACTGTACAGAGCAAATAAGACAGGCATAAAAACAGGAAATAAACACAATAATAAAAGAAAGTTTAAGAGCATGGAGAAGTTATATAGAGTATGCTATCTTGAACAGGTGGGTTTTGAGGGTGGACTTAAAAAGAGGAATTGAAGTGATGTTTCAGAGGTCAGAGGGTAGGGAATTCCAAAGTCGAGGGGCAAAGTGACTAAAAGCCCTGCCC